TAGTGCCAAACTTCAGAACACAGTATGAGATTCAGTATAAAACACTAGGTATGAGATTTTCAACATATAAGATTCAGATATAAAATTGCACATATCTCCATTTAATAGCTTTACACTTTCAGTTCCTTCTTCACTTTATAAAGTACTTCAGTGTATAAATTCTAGACTTGAGCAGTGTTCCCATTATATGATGTACTTCTTTTAGATTTTTCTCAGTCTAATTGAATTTCATAATGTATAACCATTTACTCATCACACACTGGCAAAGAAGAATTGTAATTAAAAGTTTAAATGCGAACAACACATTTACATATAAATTGTAAATATTCAAAAGCAAAAAGCAAAAAGAAAACCCAGTTGGCTCAGTTGTTTGGAGAGGCATCCGATACACCAAAAGGTGGCAAGTTTGATTCCTGGTCAAGGCACATACCCAAGTTTTGGGTTGGATTCCTGGTTGAGGCATGTGCAGGAGGCAACTGATCAATGCGATTTTCTTTCTTTTTCTCTCTCTTTCTCACCCCCTTTCCTCTTTTTTAAAATCAGTTAAGAAAGAAAAAAAGAAATCCCATAAGATACCACTTCGCACACTCTGGTATGGTTATAATAAAAAAAAGGGGCAATAAAAAGTGGCAATGATGTAGCACATGTGTCAAACACAAGGCCCGCGGGCCAAATCCGTCCCGCCAGGCCTTGCAATGTGGCCCGCACCGCGCTGTCATCACTGCACTCTGCTGCGTTTCCATCACAATGACAGTTTATGACTGTTCAGTAAACCATTCGGCCTGCAATTTAGGCTGGATTTTAATTTTGGCCCCTTCTCTGATTGAGTTCGACACCCCTAATAGAGGAACATGGCTGATGGGAATGTAGAATGCTTTGGCAGTTTCTCAAACCAGAGTTACCATATGACCCAGCAACTCCACCCAAGAGAAATGAAACCATCCAAATGTTTTCACAAATGTTCATAGTAGCATTACTCATTATAGCCCAAAGGTGGAAACAATCCAAATATCCATCATCTGCTAAATGGATAAACAAATGTTGTATATCTATACAATAGAATACCAATTGAATATGAAAAGTTATTAAATACTGATATATGCTACAATATGGATAAACCTCAAAAACTTTATGCTAAGTGAAAGAAGCCAGACATGAAAGACCATATGTTGTATGATCCCATTTATATAAAATGCTCCAGAAAAGGAAAATCTATGAAGTAGTTTTAGGTGACCTACAGCTGGGGGTGCATATGGGAAGGAACTTCTAATGGATACCAGGTTTCATTTGGGGGTGGTGAAAAAGCTCCTTAATTAGATGATGATAATGACTGCACAACCTATGAATATATTAAAATCCATGAAAATGTATACCTACATGAGTGAATTTTATGGTACAAAGTTGTGTTTTGAAAAACCTGCTCCATTTCCTCATTCTTATAGCTACCCACCAATATGAACCTTCCCGTCTGTCCATCCAGACTCCAATGAAAATCCTGCTCAAGACTCTGCTCACATTGTTCCCCACCTGGAATACTCTCCCTAGGGTACAGCCAAGTTACATAATGGTTTTGAAGATTTTTCTAACCAAGTCAATCCTTACTATCATAATTTGTCTCTAGATTCCATATCACAACTGGCAACACTATATCCTCAAATATAAACATAAGGCAGTTTCACCTATTTCCCATAAATCTCTAATTCTTCCTTTAGTCTCTTTTATCTTCTCAGAGACAAACTAGTCATAAAGACCAACCATAACTGTGGAGACTCGGGGCCTTAAACAAAGAGGAAAACGTGTACATCAAGGAATATTGTAAGATAAGTAAGAGTGAAGGAAAAGCATGCTCCTGCCTCCATTGACCCTGCCAACTCTCCACCTCTACAGGACAGAACCTCTGTCACATCTTCATATCCCTCATAACACTGAGCACAGCATCTTGAACACAGATGATACAAAATGTCTGCTGACTAACAAATGTCCTGAATGGAACTTTCTACATATGTATTCAGCAGTCCCCAACCCTTAACAAATATCCAACGTCGTAAAGCAGGAAAAAGACTTGAGGGGGGGGAAAAAAAAACCTAAAATAATGAGTCACGCATTCACTTCTCAGCAGTGTTTATTTTTATTTTTTATTTTATTTTTAAAATATATTTCATTGATATTTTTTTTTTTACAGAGAGGAAGAGAGAGGAATACAGAGTTAGAAACATCAATGAGAGAGAATCATCGACCAGCTGCCTCCTGCACACCCCCCACCGGGGATGTGCCTGCAACCCAGGTACATGCCCTTGACCGGAATCGAACCCAGGACCCTTCAGTCCGCAGACCAACGCTCTACCACTGAGCCAAACCGGCTTCGGCTCAGCAGTGTTTAGAAGTGCATGTTCTTACTGTGCATTTCAAAGTGGCTTGTTACTGTTGTCATCAAACCTGACACCTCAGCGTTGTCAGAGAAAAAAAAGAGCACTATTAAGAGAAGCTAAACTTTAAATATGAAACTGTTCCTTCCTAATAGTGGGGTGCCAAGATTCAAACTCCTTTGATGCCACATGCAGTGAGCAAAAAATTAACATAATGAAGGTTGGAAGGACACAGGTCTGTGGGGTGGAAATGAGAAGCAATGCTTTCAAAGGATAGGGGGGCAGAAGACAAGTCTTAGAGATGAACTTCTGAAAACAACAAAGACAGAAGGTCATAGCCAAAAGCTACAAATCCCTGAAACCTGATTTAGATCCTGACTGTAGAAGTCTAGGATCAATGAATTTAGGAGCATCTTCAGGTACGCTGAATAGGCAAGTCTAATTCCATCACAAAATTACTTAACCAGGACCTGAAATACTATGAATATAGAACAGTTGTTTAGCTTCAGAAATCCTGTCTAATAAAAGAGTAATATATAAATTAACCATCTCTCTATCACACCTACAAGCCACGGCCCATCAGCCAGTCAGGAGTATGCAAATTAACACAACTGAGATGGTTGCGGCCACAGAACAAGCAGGAGGCTTGGGTTTTCCTGGCAAAGGAGGAAGCCAAGCTTTCCACACACCCCGGCGGGCCCAGGCCTCCACCCAAGGATACAAAGTTTCAATTATAGAAGATAAATCCCAACAAAAATGGCAGCAGCCACGGAGCTGGAGAGAGCAGGAGGCTTGAGTTTCCCCAGCAATGGAGGAAGCCAACCTTCCACAGCCCTGGACAGCCTTGGCCTCTGCTACAAAGTTTCAATTATAGAAAATAAATGAATCCCAACAAAAATGGCTGTGGCCAAAGAGCAAGCAGGAGGCTTGGCTCTGCTCAAGGCTACAAAGTTTCAATTATAGAAGATAAATAAATCCCAGATAGCAGGTCCTCCACCTGGGTTGCCAGGGGGCATGGCTGGCCTGCAAACCACAACAGGCCCCTCGCTCAGGTTGCCCCACATCCCAAGGAAACCCCCACGTTGATCCGGGACACCCTTCAGGGCAAACCAGCTGGCCCCCGCCCATGCACCAGGTATCTATCCTATCTAATAAAAGAGTAGTATGCAAATTGACCATCACTCTAACACACAAGATGGCTGCCCCCATGTGGACACAAGATGGCCAGCAGGCGAGGGAAGTTGGGAGGGATCAGGCTTGCAAGGGAGGGCAGTTGGGGGTGATCAAGACTGCAGGGGAGGGCAATTAGGGATGACCAGACTGGCAGAGGAGGGAAGTTGGGGGGACCGGGCCTGCAGGGAAGGGCATTTGGGGGGAACCCAGGCCTGCAGGGGAGAGCAGTTGAGGGGGACCAGTCCTGCAGGGGAGAACAGTTAGGGGTAACCAGGCCTGCAGGGGAGGGAAGACAGGGGTGACCAGGCCTGCAGGGGAGGGGCAATCAGGCTGGAAGGAGCAGTTAGGCATCAATCAGGCAGCAGAGTGGTTAGGGGGTGATCAGGCTGGCAGGCAGAAGCGATTGGGGCAATCAGGAAGGCAGGCAGGCGAGTAGTTGGGAGCCAGCAGTCCTGGATTGTGTGAGAGAAATGTCCAACTGCCCTTGAGGGGTCCCAGATTGGAGAGGGTGCAGGCTGGGCTGAGGGGACAACCCTCCCCCACCATGCACAAATTTCATGCACCCGGCCTCTAGTATTATATAAATGTTTAAGTACTAAGTTGTACACCTGAAACTTAATAGTTAATTTTATATGGCAATTGTGGTTAAAATCCTAAAGAAGAATGAAAACATACTGAACGAGAGAGAGAAGTTATATATGTCTTGTATGAAAAGAATCTTGACTTCTCAGAGATAAAGAAATCAGTGAGTAAATGAAAGAAATATAAAAAGCACTACTCATCCACATACATTTCTTTTTGTCCCATTATACTACTGGCCAATGATTTTAATCAGGATGGCAGACTGGCAAATGAAAGGGCTTTCAACTGCCCAGAAGTCAAAACACTGGTAAATTTTAAATGACCTTCACAGGCAGGCTGACAATGCCTGGAACTTATTATTAATATATTAGGAGCTCAAAAAAACGATTGTTAAATAAAGAATTAAAATAAGAGCCTTTGTAAAGTGTACAGATCATATATGATTTCTTATGAAAAAACGTATTTTTTAAAGACCTTGAAAAATAATAGTCATATGTATATTTTCCTATTTTAATGTATCTTTTAAAATATGACATATAAAAAATATTAACTGGGGGCTGCATTTGCACAAAGGATATCTTAGAATCTTTATTAATCTCTTCAAGTTTCTTTAGTTCACCAATTCACAGATATATAAGAAAAGCAAATGGAGTACTAGACTAAAAATCTACTTATTTTACTTACAATGTAAGTAATGAAGGTGGTAGGACAGGAATTAGAGAAGTTTGAATTTTTACATACTTTTTAAAGTATTATTATTGACAAATTTTCAGGTTCCGGTCATGGTCTCTCCACATAGTTCTTATTAAATGTAAAACAAACCTTCAGATGAAAAATATCAGAGAGCAATATATCCTCCAAATGGGAAGAACAACTTACTTCAACTTGAAAGAGTTCTCCAGCCCCTTCACAGTCATTGGATGTGATTATTGGAGTATGAATATGCACAAAACCATTGTCCTGCAAGAAAGAGAAAAGCCACTTTTTTCAGTATATTTGTATATGAAAATATTCCAGGAACACAGATCATTATACTCTTAAAATAGCATTAAGAGAATGCCATATCAAATCCTTTCCTAACTCCCCAAATAAACCTAGTAAATATCAAGCTGAGTTTTACTATTAATAGAAGCACAAATAATTTTAAATTAAAAAATGAGTCAGACATTATCTAGTCCAATTTCCTAATTTTCAAAGATAAAGAAATTGAGGTCCAGAAAGGTTTAATGAATTCCCAAGTCACACAGCTAGCCAGTGACAACCTAGGTCTTCAAGGTCTCCCTCTGGTACTGTTTCTTCCACTTTTTGAACCTACTGGCCGTGCGCGCGCGCGCGCGCGCACACACACACACACACACACACACACACACACACTCTCTCACTCTAACCCACTCAAGGTTAATGTATAATAATGCTGCCCACATTGCTGAAGGAATACAAAGTGACCAATGTAAAGTTCAGTTATTTTGAAATAAGATCCTAAATTGTAACAAACCATGGAAAAGGAGAAAAATTAAGGTTGACAAATAGGGACTAAAGAAATGAACAGCAAACAGGGCAGAAATGATTTTTAGGAAGTCTGTCATTATATTGATAGCACAGAGCGCTGCACACAGCACAGGCAGTGCACTTCCTTTGCCTCAAGGAAGACTCTGAGCAGCAAATTACTGAGGTACCCAATTGAAATTTTTCCGCTCCAAAGTCTGAGACTATTTCCATTAGTGAACCACAAAAGCTGTTGCTAGTTGGTCTGAAATAACCCAACAACTTGGAGGTTAAGCTTCTTTCATTTTTTACTATGGATATAGGCAAAAAGTTACATTCAGCATAAATGGTACAGGGTGGAGATGGAGGTAACTAAAGGGGACCTAGGCTGCAAAGGCAGAATAGTATGTGTTTAATGAAAAAGTTGTGATCTTGAAATCAACACAGTAAATTCATATAATACACTTCTAACCTCTGCTAAATTTTGCCTATCACTCGTGGAATATAAAATGTCTCAGGGTGTTACCAGGGACCTCCCAGTTTGCCTCCTTCATAAAAACGGTCAAGTATTCTGGCTAAGATACAAAGTATGCAGTTAACAATTTGCCTTAGGATGCAGACAGATTAAATATTCAAACTCTAAATTAGGAGTTTTAGAAAGTATTCAAACATGTACTTAATCTGGGAGCAACATGCCTAGAGGTGCTGCAGGGCACATTATAGAGAACAAATGAAAAATAATCAATAACAACATTACTGCATAAAATTTTTATCTCTTAGGAGCCAAGAATTATGGACATGAATCATTTATTCCACACAAGTGCAGGCAACTATGAGCATGAGCGCAGTAAACAAAGAAAGGAAATGAAAAATCCAAAGGAAACGAGGGTGGGGAAGAGGGAGGAGAAAATTTAACGGTTAAATATAATCCCCTAAGTTAGAACTGGTCAACTGCCACAAGAAACAACACTGTAAATCTTATAAAAATAACTGTACGAGATTTTTTTAAAAAATCACTTGAGTAATGGGAGTTATTCTTAATGCTCCATTAATGCTAAACCTTTTAAAAAGTGTCACCTAACCTTTTAAGGCTTAATGCTGTTGCAAGGCTTATCATATCAAAGTCTAGAACATTACCGCCAAAAGCTATAAAAGATACAAAGGAAGAATAATAAAGCATTGAGAATAAAGTCCAAAAGTGAAAAAGCAGATAGGGAAGCAGAAAGATAAAATGGAAAATAAGCAGCAAGGAGTGAAGAAGCCCTGTCAGGAGCTGCTCCAACGAGTGTGAGATACTTACTCTCTCCCACAGAAAAGGTATGAAGGCCAGACAAAGAACCAAAAATAAAAGCACACACTTTCATCAAATTTTTCAGATTGCACCCACTACCTGTAAATACCTAAATATTTTGAAAGATACACATTCTACAACCAACTATTTTATAAGGCACTGAGCATTTGAAAATTACAGGTAATGATTTCACACACATTGGTGTACTAAGGCCCACAGACACCACTCAATGACTCATGGACTATATTTTTCTACCCCCCTACCCCCCAAAAAAATAATTATCCTTATTTATCAGAATGAACAATAACAACAACAAAATATGGCAACCAATGCTAGTTATAGGCACACCCCTGGCAACAAAAAGTAAAAGCAAAAGGAGAGAAAAAATCCACAGAAAGCAATCACAGGAATTCAGAGACAGCAGTCGGGTCATTCAACACAGGGGCAAGGAATACTCCACACTGTGGCAGGCTTTGAAAGCAATGCCATTCAGAAGAGCGAAAAATCTGATACTCAAAGGAAGACTCTTGACTCATCAAGAAAGGGCAAGCGTTTTCTGGCTCAATTTAGGAAGCCAGGGACGTATGCAACCTATTGGAGGATAATTTCTGCTGATATTTAGAAAAATTCGTGCCTCAAGAGATAATCCTGTTATTTGAGAAACTCAGTTCTAAATAACTTTTTCCTTGAGGATTCTAGATAGCCAAGTTTTAGTACATAGCAAACATGTCAATTTTATGAGAAAACCAAGTTACACAAAAAAAAACTTTTGATAATCAACCCAAAATAAATAACTCTAGATGCTTAAAATATCCTAATTAAAAGGTACTGCTCAAGTTTATTTTTTCCTATATTTTTAGATTTGAAATTTATGAAGATTTTACATTTTAAGCTTTAACATCTTTTTGGGAGTCTAACCTAACAACTCCCAGAAATAGTACCAAATACTAGAAAACATATAACAATTATTTAATATGACCTATCGCTCTCCTGTGAGTTCTTTAAACAATTCAATCCTCATTATCTTACAAACAATGGGTAACATTATAAGAGTTGGTATCAAGATTATATTTTCCAGTTCTTTACAATAAGTACCTACTTTATAATTATCACCAACAGTGCTAAAATTTCTTTTAAACTACTTAAAATATCTTTTAAAAATTTTATTTTGATTTTTACTTGATATTTTTTCTAGCTTCTTTCCTTATTTTTAAATTGTTTACATTTTTACAAAAGCTTCAATAAAGAAATATGTAAAGTAGGTAAAGCCCACTTGTCAATGGACTGCCAATACCACCACCTAGTGGCCAAAATCTATAAAACTTTCAGAATTAAAACTGGTTCAATTTCACGAGCTGTTAAAGCCATAGAGGGGAAAACTTTTAAAATCGGAACCAATTTTCTGTTTGGTGGTTCAAGCGCTACTGAAAAATTATATGGGAGTTGCATAAGAAAGTTTATAAGAATACATGTAAATGCCTTCTTTCGAACTAAAATGGAATGATATTGTATAATGTGATTTATTTTCCTTTATTTATTCAAAAATGCAGTGTATAATTTAAAGTCATGATGTTCTTCAGCTGTTTATTTTTGTTTGTTTTGTTTTGTTTACCAGAAATCAACTCTGCAGGAACTTTTTAAAGTGCAAGAACTCTCCTGGCATGCTACAATACCTCAAGGCCTGCACAAATTTGGATACAAGGAAGGGTATGTTATTAAACAATCTCTGAAAATTAGCTGGATCTGAACAAGTGGCATAAGAAGAGTTCCAAAGTGCATGGAATAACTTAACTTTATTTTCAGGATCACTCCTTGCCTTTTGGCCTTCCCCTCTTCCCCATTCACAGGGGAAGGGTTCCTTTGTAGGGAGCGGCTATAGGGTTAAGCCTAGGACTGACCTGTTGGCAAAGCCACAAACAAGTCCCAGTTTAGAGGGCACAGCCCTCTTAGCATAATTAAGCTTGACCTTATGACGCCCCCTATATCCTATGGGGGTAGCTAATGGGCTGTGGGAGGTGCAGCAAATGCTGCCAAAACAAGTGAAACTCATAAGAACATTGTAACTATTCTGACCACTACCTTGTTTACCTCTATCTATAAAACAAAAGCTCAGCTTGCCATCTGGATCTCTCTCTGTGGCCTCAACCAGGCACAGGAGACCCACTGAGGCACAGGAGATCCACTGAGAACCAGCTATATTATCTTGTCTGTCTTTTCTTCAATCCTTCACCACCCTCCCTCAGGCTCACTGAACCCTTGGCTGAGCTGGCCCAGCACATCCCTTTACCTCATCAACTTACTAACAACACTTCACTATGGCTTTCCCCAGTGGAGGAAATGGCAAAAAGGCAAAACCAAACAAGACAAAATGTTTTAAGTCATTAGATCAATCTAATTGATTTACTTCAGTAACTCAAAATCTGCACTAACAATATATATAAAATATGTCTATGATCAAGATGGAGAAACGGGCCAGATTTACCCTCCAACCCGAAAATCCAAAAACACAAAAGCAAAACAAAAAAACCTATAAGAAAACTACATTAAAGAATGGTTTTTGAGATATTGAATATCAGACATCAAAGGACAGTGATTACTGAGAGATGGAAAGAAAACACACCAGCAGCCCAGCTTACTATCTTGAGATTTTCCAGGCCATGGCAGGGAGAGGGAGTAATAAAGTGGAGCCCAGCAGACTCTCTGAGAGTCTCAGAAGACAAAAGTGGCTAAAGTACCAGAGAGGAGAGAGCTGTGCAGAGAACTCCAGACATGGAGTATCAGGTACAGGAATGATCAAGCAAATGCTCGTGAGGAAACTATCCAAGGCCAGAGAAAGAACCACCCAAAAAGATAAGTGAAAACAGTGTCTAGTGTTCACGTGTGGCTGAAAACTGTGTCTGAACAAGCCAGATTAGAAAAACTCGTAATCCCCATGGCATTTGGCAGAGACCCAGAAAGGCTTTGCCTCCACAGTGGGAAGTAATTAGTCCTAGATTGAGAACTTCTCCAGACCCACTTAAAACCAATGTCCAAAGGATCAAAGTTTTCAAATAACTGCATACCAGAATAAAGCTTAAGAAGCTTAAAATTTACACATAACCAAAGATTTGCAGGTATGCAAAGAGGTAGGGAAACATAATCCATAATGAGGAGATTAATAAATCAAAATTGACTCATAATTGACAAGTGTGTTAAAACCAGAAGAATCCTATCTAATAAAGAGGGAATATGCTAAATGACCCTCATACCATCACAAAGATGGCAGTGACCATAGCCAATAAGAAGGGAATATGCTAATTGGCTTCCCACCCTCAAATATGGCGACACCCACAGCCAATAAGGAGGAAATATGCTAATAGACTGCCTTGTTCTCCAACACGGTGGCACCCACAGCCACAAGATGGAAGTGCCCAGTCCCCTCAGCCCTGCCAGAGTGACTGCCTCTGGAGTCCCCCAGTCCTCTCCAACCACCCACGGCCAGCCTGAGGCACAAGCAAGCCTCAGATGGCAGGTACCTAGCCACTCAGGGCCACCTGAGGCTCAGGTAACAAGAGCCAGCTGAGGTTTGTGCTGCTGGCAGTGGCAGCAGCAGAGTTGTGATGGGGACATCACCTTCACCTCATTGCCAGGTCACCTCCTGCCCCTGACGGCTCCTAGACTATGAGAGGGGGCAGGCTGGGCTGAGGAACCTCCCCTCCAGTGCATGAATTTTCATGCACCAGGCCTCTATGGCCAAATACACTTAATATCACCAATACTAATCGGTAGGACATAAAAACAGTCCTTTTACTGCATTGTATATGTTCAAAACTATATTGTATATGTTCAAAAGTTAAGTAGAGAAATGGAAGACATATTTATTTAAATGGTCTAAATCAAACATCTAGATATGAAACTTACAATGTGTAAGATAAAAACACTCTGGATAGAAATAACAAATTAGGTATTGTAGAAAGAAAGATAAATTAACTTGAAGGCAAAGCAATACAAATCATCCAAAAGAAACACACAAAGAAAAAAATAATTTTAAAAAAGGAAAGAAAAGAACATCAGTGAGTTCTGGATATATCATTGAAGGGGTCAAATATTTGGGCAGTTGAAGTCTTTAAAGGAGTAAAGAAACATGAAAGATTTTGAAAATATAATGGTTGAAAATAAAAAATTGAGCCAAGATATTCACCAAACACCAAACATGAGAAACATAAAGAAAACTGTGCCAAGGCACATCATAATCAAATTGCTCAGAATCAGTAATACAGAGAAAATTTCATATCAACCCCCCAAAATAGTACCATGTGAGAAAAGGGTATTTTCAGGATAATATTCCAGTGTTACCATTATTCAATTTTGTTACAAGACAGACCACTTGAGAAACAAAACACCTTACCTTAAAGAAAGAATGAATAGCAGCTGTGGCCTCACTGCGAACTCTCAGTATAGAACCCAGGGCATTAGTTCTACACCGAAGATGAGGAAATTGTCTCAGATACTCCAGAGGAGGTCTGTCTTTATATTTTAAAGGGAAATCCTGCCAATAAGTGGGGGGAAAAATTAGAAGCTGAAAAATAGTTTCCAGGGCATTTCCAAAATAGTAGTGCTTTAGAACAAAACTATTTATTTCTTCGAAATTTGTGCATGGCAGTAGGGGAGGTGTTCCCTCAGCCCAGCCTGCACCCTCTCCAATCAGGGACTCCTTGGGAGATGCTCGACTGCTGGTTTAGGCCCCACCCCACAGGGGACGGGGGCCTAAATCGGCAGTAAGATATCCCTCTCACAATCTGGGACCGCTGGCTCTTAACCCCTCACCTGCCTGCCTGCCTGATCGCCCCTAACTGCCTCTTCCTGCCTGCCTGATCACCCCTAACTCCTTTTCCTGCTTGCCTGATGGCCCCCAACTGCCTCTGTCTGCCTGATTGCCCCTCCCCTGCTGGCCTGATCTTGCCTCCAACTGCCCTCCCCTGCCGGCCTGATCTCACCCCCAACTTGCTCTCCCCTGCTGACCTGATCTCACCTCCAAATGACCTCTCCTGCCAGCCTGATCTGCCCCCAACTGCCTTAAAACCTCTCCTCACTCCCACCTTAGGTTCTGCCTTCACGGTTCACCCAGATTAGGTTCTGATTGGTGTGTTTCTATGCCAGTCAGTGTCAAAAACTCCACCTCCTAGGCAGCCATTGGCTCCTTGCAATTCACCCAGGTTTGGTTCTTATTGGTCAGTTTCTATGCCAGTCAGCATCAAAAGCTCTGCCTTCTAGGCAGCCACTGGCTCCTCACAGTTCACCCAGATTTGTTTCTGATTGGTCGGTTTCTATGCCAATCAGTGTCTCCGGGCCTGATCAGAGAGGCAGGGCTGATCAGCAGCCCCTGCAGATACCTGGAGAGAAAGAGAGGCATGGCTGCTGGTGAAGCCCAGAGAAAAAGAGAGAGGCAAGGGCTGACAAGAGCTGCCATGGAGGCTACGATCAGATCCCGCTTCTCTCTCCGGGACTGATCAACAGCCCCCTCAGCAGTCAGTGCTGGGTCACCACAGCAACACAGCACTGACTGCAGGCCTGTGGTGTTTGGTCAAGCCTGCGTTCATTATAGTCACTGCCTTTTTATATGTATAGTTATAACTGAATATAGTCCACATTAATTCCAAGTAGAATGGTGGTGGAGTGGAATCAGGGAGATGAGGGTTTGAATTCTGCTTAACTACTTATTAGCTGTGGAACCATGGACAAATACACTTAATATCACCAATACTAATCTGTTATTTACAAAATTTCTATCTGTTAGCTTATCAAACACTACTTACAAATAGAGAGATTAGGATATAAATATGCAAAAGAATCTATTTTGGCACACAAGAGTTCATAATTGTAGATATAAATATATTAAATATACACTGCTGGTATTTAATTTTAAAAATCACCCAAATGTCTTGAAAGTCCACAATCATCCATAATCAATTGACACAGTTTAAGCACTGTTTACCAACATGCACTGCTATCTAAGTATAAGGAAGGGTCAATAGCTTTCTGTCATCTGGCAGATTAGTGTATGCAAACTTCTAGAGAAAATTATGATTTACCTAGAAGTATTTCCAATCCTACTCATACTCAAGATTAAGACAGAAACAAATGTTCAGACCAAAACCAATTTCAACAAAAAAGCTGCATAAGAGAGCTACACTGGTAGCCTTTTAGACTTTATTCCTTTTCGGCCTTGTGCACATAGTAATTTACATTGTATAGAAAGAAGCACTAGACTTACTACATTAACTACATTTATGACCACATTAACAGAAATCTGGGGGCTGCTGGGGGTTCAAAATTCCTTAATATATGAACACTTAAAAATGACCAAAAAATGAAGGGAAGGAGAAGATGAAGGAATCAACACCTACAGAATTCAAGGGAGAACAATTTAAGAATAGTAAAACACACGATGAAATTTTATAGCCATATGTCCCCCTAAAAAAGGAAGAACAAATTATTTTCAGTTTCTTTGTTCAGCCCAAGCATTACAATACTCTGTCCAGTAGAATTTTCTGTGATAAATAGTAATGTTCTCTATCTGTGCTACCCAGTATGGTATCCACTAGTTCACATGTGTCAAACACAAGGCCCGCGGGCCAAATCCGCCCCGCCAGGCCTTGCAATGTGGCCCGCACCGCGCTGTCATCACTGCACTCCACTGCGTTTCCATCACAATGACAGTTTATGACTGTTCAGTAAACCATTCGGCCGCGATTTAGGCTGGATTTTAGATTTTGGCCCCTTCTCTGATTGAGTTCGACACCACTACACTAGTTGCATGTGACTACTGAGCACTTGAAATGTGAATAATGACCCTGAGGAATGAAATTTTTTATTTAATTTTAATTTATTTAATATTAATAAATAGTCACAGGTAGCTAATGGCTACTATATTAGATATAATAATTCTAGATAATGTAAGTCCATTTCTTAACAATGTGGTCTGCCCTGGTCATTAGGGATGCTTGTAAAAGTGGCAAGATTCAACTGTGACAAACACCACAGAAATGCATAGACTAATATTTAGCTCTCACTCAGTCATTTTCATATATACTTTTTGCTACTCTCTCTACATTCCTTAGGCTCTATTGCCTGTTTCTATTACCTAGAAAGTCACTAACACATTCTAAGTACCATCTTCCCAATAATCATACCCAAAACAAATTGCTAATGTTTTTGATTAAGTCTAAACAGCCTCCATAAAAGTGTCAGAAAACATACCTTGGGATCACAAGTTCCAACAACTTCAATTTTTTCTGCCTTCAGTTCCACATTTTGCCTTTTGTATGGACTTTTTACCAGCTGCCCTTGAATTTCCACTGAACAACCAAAATCTAGTTCTCTATAAAAACAAAACACACCATAAACAAGATTATCATTATACCCAACCCTTATTATGATATAAACCTTGCTATTAAAACATTAAAATACTTAATGACATATAAGGGTAAATATTTAATTTTACCCTTAATCAGATTGAAAGCTGCAGGTAGTTAAGAGAGACTGAAGTAAAGAATAGGTGGGGGGATATTGTCCCATGAAGATGGTAAAGGAGGAAAGGCCCGAGCTTGAAGGATCTTGAATCTGAGTATTTGAACTTGAGCCTCAAAGCTATGTGAAGCAGATTTGTTTAGAAAGATCACACAGGGTGCAATGTGAACACTAGATTAGGGGAATGAGAACAGATGAGATAGGAAAAAAAAAAATCAAAGTACTCACTTTAAAAATAAACTCACCTACTTTCTAAGTTTGAATCTGCTACAATCTGAAGGCTTTCCAAAGATGAACCATCATTTACATGCAGGAACAAGACTTCCTTCTGGGATCGGACTGAACGAACCCATCCCTAATAAAGAGAAATATTTCTAAATGTGAGTTTAAAACATGTAAACATTTTACATTTTCATTACATATACTCATAGAAAACTAAATGAAAACGGGAAAATGTCCTCATAATCTTACCTTACCAAATCAGTTGCTTTTAGTTCACTCCTATCTATCTATCTCTATATATAAAAGCCTAAGCAACCAGTACAACCAGTCAACTGAATGACTGGTCACTATGACAACGCACTGACCACCTGGTGGTCAGTGTACTCCCACAGCCAACCTCTCGCATTCCTCCCCACCCCCACCCCAGCTGGCTGGCCCCGATCGGCCCCAAATAGCTCAGTCAGTGGCCAGGCAGAGGGAGCCCACCAGTGCATGAATTTGTGCACCGGGCCTCTGGTGCATATATAAAATTGATATGGTTCTTATCACAGTAAGATATAGTTTTGGCATGCCACCTTTTGTTTCGTTTTGTTAATAAAGCTCATCATTCTGAATACATGCCAGACATTCCATTAGGTTGATGAGTCTAATTCACATAACCAATCCCCCTAATATTTGCTATTTCACATATTTTTCTCCTATCCCTACGCTTCCTTAATTGAGTTATGAATAATAGGGCACTTATTTTGGTCTCTCTTTTTTTTTTTAATATATTTTATTGATATTTCACAGAGAGGAGGAAGGGAGAGAGATAGAGAGCTAGAAACATCGATGAGAGAGAAACATCGACCAGCTGCCTCTTGCACACCCCCTACCGGGGATGTGCCTGCAACCAATGTACATGCCCTTGACCGGAATCGAACCTGGGACCTTTCAGTCCGCAGTCCGACGTTCTACCACTGAGCCAAACCGGCTTCTGCTCTTTCTCTTTTTATATCTAATTTTAAGAAGGGAGATTATGTAGTTATAGACTAGAAGCATCTTTATGGGATTTTCCCCCCTTTACAAAATACTATACACAAAGGGTTCTCAAAAAACTTCTTCGTATGAACACATTAAATATTACACAAATTTTCAAAGACACTCTGAATTTAAATCACAAGTAGGTTTGAGTACAAATGAGATGTCTTTAGGTAAGCCAATCGAAAACAGCTCTCTTACCAATCACACTTAAATTTAACTAGCAGAAAAGTTAAGGGAGAATATATTGAGTAATTGTGAAACAATTGATGGTGTTTTACTAACTATCAAACAAGTCTGGGAAAAGCAAGATGATCCTATTTAGAAAAACTGTGCAATCATGTACCACTTAACGACAGAGATATATTCTGAGAACTGCATTGTTAGGCAACTTCTTCACTGAGGAAACATCATAGACTGCACTTAAATCTAGACAATATAGCTGCTAAACACCTACACATTACTGCACAAAACAACAGGAGATTAAATCAAGCACAAGAGAAAATGATGCAATCTAAACATTTGGTAGATGCAAGATGTATGAGGCTGCTGCAGGTGTAACATGACATACTATTCTATAGCAAACTTTTTATAAATATAAGTATACTCTAAAATAACGATACAAGAATAGCATAGCAAATACACAAACCAGTAACATATTCATTTATCATCGTTATAAGTATTATGCCCATAGCTATATGTGTTACACTTTTATACAACTGGCAGCCCAGGTTTGTTTACACCAGCATCACTGCAGACACAGGAGCAATGAGTTACCTTATGACTGTTTCAGGTTACCAAGTCATTAGATGATAGGAATTTTTCAACTCCGTTATAATCTTACTAGAGGCCCAGTGCACAAATTCATGCACTGGTGGAGCCCCTCAGCCTGGCCTACAGAGATTAGGTTGAAACCAGCTCTCCAACATCCCCCAAGGGGTCCCGGATTGCGAGGGCACAGGCCAGACTGAGGGACCCCATCGGTGCATGATCAGGGCTAGGGAGAGATCACAGGAGGCCTCCAGGGCGTGTCCGGCCCATCTTGCCCAGTCCCAATCAGCCAGACCCCAGCAGCAAGCTAACCTACCCCCTGGTGGTCAGTGTGCATCATAGTAACTGGTTGAACTAGAAGCTTGGTGCACGGATTAATGCACCAGTGGGGTCCCTCAGCATGGCCTGTGGGGACTGGACCAAAACCAGCAGTCCAATGCTACCTGCTCATCCCAGCCCTGTTGCACCCTCCGCCGCCACAACTTGGTAGGCTCACTGCTGCTCTGCTGCGGTCTCTGTGCGCCTGTCCTAAGGTGATACTGGTATGCCTATGGCCTATGACCAAAAACAGCTGTAGGCTCGTGCCCAGTCAGTCCTGATCCTGGTTCTGGTCCCAATGGAGGAGGGATACACAGGGGGCGTGTTGAGAAAGGCTCATGCCGCCATGACTGAGCCTGCCAGCCGTGAGCCCTGCACCTGGTGCTAGTCAGCTGAGAGGCACTCCTGCTATGGGGATGCACTGATCACCAGGGGGCAGCTTCTGTATTTCTCCTGATGGTCGGTGTGCATCATAGTGATGAGGTCACTGGTCAACATGTCACACAGGCTTTTATATATATAGATGGGGCCATGTCTTTTATGTGATTTATCATTGACAGAAACATTATTATGTGGGGAATGACTGTACTGACCTTTATTTTCTGTGTCCCCCCCCCTAGAGACAAGAAGCCTTCCTTGGCCCACTCATACAGTTAAGGACTTCCCTTGCTATTTTCTCTAAGTTCATTATTTATGCCACTAATACCTATCATATTGTTGTAATTACTTGTTTTGGCCATCCTACCTGTACTGTCCAACAAAAATATGTGAGCCACATAAGTAATTTTACATTTTTTAGTGGTGACATTAAAGTAAAAAAGAAACAGCCCAGCCAGTGTGGCTCAGTAGTTAAGTGTCCACCCATGAACAGGAGGTCACTTTCGATTCCGGGACAGGGCATATGCCCAGGCTTCAGGTTTGATCTCCAGTGGGGGGCATAGAGGAGGCAACGACTGATGAGTCTCATCATTGATGCTTCTCTCTCTCTCTTCCTACCCCTTCCTCTCTGAAATCAACAAATATGTATTTAAAACAAAACAAAGTAAAAATAGGTGACATTAATTTAATTGCCCCCACCCCCCTTTCTTTACTGCCTCCTCTGCAAACTCAGTTATTCTACTGACTTAGGCTTTTAGAAACAAAAGTTAGGAAGGAAGCCTTATATCCGCTTTCTGATATGCTCTTTAGCTCCCTTTAAAAAAAAAAAAAACAAACATACCCATCCACCTACTTAAATGGGGGAGGAAGGGAGATGGAGGAAAAGAATAAATCTACCACAGGTATGTATTGCCAGATGTTTTCTAATCAAACATATACAGTATTCTTCTTCTTTTACTTGCTTCATCCTCAACCTAAACAAATTAGATTAGATTGCCCCCTCCCCATTATTTCAGTTATTGTAACTATGAGCCAGGCTCAGGAAGAGAAAGCAACAGCTTAGAGTTTAAGAGTCTGAGTTCATCAGGCAAACCATGTTCAAACCTCAGGTTTGTGCCTGAAATTAATTTTAATGCTTTATTTAAACCATTATGCCCACAATATTAACAATATGTAATCAATACAAAAATATTTTTTTTGTTTTTCAAAATTGGTGTGTATTTTATTTACAGCACCTCTCACTTCAGGCTACTAAATGCTCAGTAGTATGATAGTACAAGTGTTAGGCTGCTACTATAATAGATTGCACAGCACTAAAATAAAAGCCTCTCATCTAGGCACCAAGTTCTCTTCATCTTTGAGACCTTTTTAGACTAGCACATAAAAGGTATCATTAATGTATGTGAAATTAATAGGTGAATTCAAGAAAAGATTCTGATTGGGATCCTGGAAAGAATATGGAACCCAAAGAAATGCAGAGGAGATTAGTCATATTGCTAAAATAAATAAATAAATAAATAAATAAATAAATAAATAAATAAATAAATAAATTTAAGCCTATGCAAGGACAAGAAAAGTAATTGTATCACTGTATTTCAGCAACCAAATACGCAAACCACCTTGCTTCGCCTGCTCCTATAAGAGGAAATCAAGGTGGAGCGGCTGCAAACATTATTAGCAAGAGAAATAATACCTAACATTTATTGACTAGATCCCTGTTCTTATACCTAGTATCTCACTCAAGGGCTATTACTACCTTCATTTTTATAAGCGGAAACTGAGGTGTAGGCCACCTAAGTGATATGCCTATATAATTAGATTTAAACCTAGGCAGCTTGACTCCAGAGCTCTTTGCAGCTGCTACACTCCACTCTTTTTCCTAACTGATTAAACGTTATATGCAAAACCTCCTTTTAGATACTGGGATGGTACACGTAGAATTAAAGGTAATGGTCGTTGGACAAATATTTACAGTCAGCCGTGCGAGAAGACCAAGACAGGTAAGACGTGCTTTCTAGTCTCAAGGAGCTAGTTCAACACAACCACCACCATACACCTGTGGGTGTTCATTGTAAGGGCAAAAGGAGATGGGGCTCCTTCGTTTTACTTCCCTGTATGATGAACAAGTTTACAGGCAATGCACTGGTACCGTGAGAGCAAAGTTCCCGCGCTTTATAGGAATCACAACAGTTTTTTTGGAAAAGTAATGTTAGCCAACGAAAGGAGGAAAGTGTGAACGCACAGGACTGCCTGTCTACATTTTCTAACTTCCCCTGCGGGTTGTTCTGACCCGACAGTACAAGGCAAACCTAGATGTGGATGTGCCATGTAAGTCACTAAAAAGAAAAAAGAAAAGCACACACATCATCCCCTTCCCATACACCAACCTGAACCGTAACGCGCTCCCCACTCGGGCTCTGGACCCTGAGAGCGTCCCGCACGCTCAGTCTGGCCGGAGGCTTGGGTCTCGGGCAGGGAGCAGAGGAGCAGGAGCGCAGGGCTCGCAGCAGACACCGGGCCCCGAGCATCGCGGGTGGCCAGGCCCTGCCTCCTTGGCACCAGCCGGGATCCTAGCGGGTTCACTCAGACTCTGCCAGCGGGGACCCTCCCGGCTCCGCCGCTCCCCAGGTCCGGGCCGCAGCCCGGCTCTCTCAGGGGCTCCCTTCCCTTTCTGGGGCTGCAGCTCGGTCCCCAAAGAACCTGTCCACTTTGCCTCTCCCCGAAGGGGCGGGGCGGGGGCAACACGGCGGCGCGAGCCCAAAGGAAACCACGTGCCGCCGGCGGCCGAGATGCCCCACGGTCCCGCGGGGTTCCTAAACTGCGCTCCGACCCCCAGCCCAACGCGAGCAACCGCCGCCTCACGTCACTACGCCAACGGCTACGTCATCACGCTACGAGGAGGCTGGGAGAGAGCGTGCGTACGCATGATTCCACTTTACAGAGGAGGCGGGGCAAAGGAAGGGGCGGGGCCAGGAAATGAGATGGGGCGGGGCTAAGGCCTTAAAGCCATAGCGGTTAATAGCTGAAGGAGGGGCGGGGTCTGAGAGTCTTCATTTCTGAAGTTTGCTGGCGATGTTGAGGAACAGTGAGAGGCCAGGAGGGACTGATGAAGGGGGAAAGCGTTCAGGAGACTTAGTTGGTGAGGGCATTAGCCTGCGGTTATCAGTCGTTCCTAAATTCTGAGCACAGATAAAAATAATATTTTCTATGTAAGCTTTAAAAATTATTTTTGAAGATCATAGCTTGTTTTACTTTGTGCTATAAAATTAACAGTATTAAATTACATGTATTCTTAGAAGAAAAAAAAAAAAGACATAACCGCAGCTCAATCCCAGTTGTGTGGGATGGGACATCTAAACAGAGAGGTGCCCTGACAGAGCCTAAGTTTGGGATGTCAGGCATGGCTGAAGAGGGTAGCCCTCTCACAAGTAAGAGAAACTGAAGAGACCTCGAATATCATTGGAGTGAGAAGGCACACAGTGTGAAGATGCTGCAGAGAGACTGCTGGGATGTTCAGCATTGCCTGCCAGACTCTTCAAGTCTCACTCCCCCCCCCCCCCCCCCCAACAGTTATCTGCATTTGTTTAACCTGGAAATATTAGGTCTAGTAATAATTAATGTCGTTTTCTAATACTTTTTAAAATCGAATTTATTTAAACAATACAACAAAATTTAATCAACAATATAGTTGCCGTTGTTTTCTACTACTTGTGCCCAACGCTCAGGAAGCATTTTAATCCCTCTGTTGTAAAATTCTTGTGATTTTGATGCAAAAAATTCGGTCAATGCATTTTTGAGGCATTCTTCATTATTAAATTTTTTTTCCAAGAAGAAAGCTTTGCAAAGAATGAAACAAATGGTAATCGGAAGGGGCAATATCAGGAGAATATGCAGGTTGAGGGAGAACTTCCCATTCCAACTGGTGCAGTTTTTCAGCAGTGATTCTTGCAGTATGTGGTCGTGAGTTATCGTGGTGAAGAATTACGCCCTTCCGATTAATCAGCGCGGGTTCTTTTTCTCTTAAAGCTTGGGCTAACCTTTCCAATTGGGCACTATACACTGCACTTGTAATGGTTTGGTTAGATGGTAAAAGTTCATAATGAAGAATTCCTTTAAAATTCCACCAAACACACAACATTACTTTTTTCGCATGCAAGTCAGGTTTTGGCGTGGGCTGCAGAGCCTCATTTTTGTCCAACCATTGAGGCTGCCTTTTCAAATTAACATACAGCACCCATTTTTCATCTCTGGTAACAATTTGCTCTAAAAACGGCAAACAGTTTTGACGAGAGAGGAGCGAACTGCAAATTGTGACTCTTTGATTACGGTTGTTGTCCGTCAACTCATGAGGAACCCATTTTCCAAACTTTTGGACTTTGCCAAGTGCCCGCAATTGATTGGAAATTGTTTTTTGTGAACAACTTAAAGTTGTCGCAAGCTCTTGTTGGGTAATTTGAGGATTTTGCACCAAAAGAGCTTGAAGAGCTCCTTGATCAAAATTGGACACATGGCCTCGACCACTCTTGTCATCTAACGAAAAATTTCCCTTGCGAAATTTCTCAAACCAACCCTGGCATTTTCTGGCACTAACTGCATCTTGACCAAGAGCACTACAGATGTTTTTTGCAGCCTCACTTGCTTTTCTTCCTAATTGGAACTCGTAAAGCATGCAGTGCCGAATATGCTCTTCATTCGCCATCTTCTTAGCCCTAGTTTTGCAACAAAAACCAAACCAAACACAAACTTTTTCAAGCAAAACTTGTTAATTGCACTTCACACGTTCTGTAGATACCACATGTTTGAAGGTTATGTCAATACAAGTCAACGCCAAGCAAGATTTTAAACGAATGTTTAAAAACGACATTAATTATTACTAGACCCGATAGTGACCCTTTTATATAGTATTAGGCTACCTTTAAAATGTATCCCAAAATATTTTTCCCCTATAACTTAGTGAAAAGGTTTCTAATTAAAAGAAGTAAAGGCTAGTTACTTAAATTTGCCACTACTATTTGGCCCATTTTACAGATAAAGGAACTTAGGCACAGAAAAGTTAAATGACTTGCTCAAAGGTATACATCCTGTAAGTGTGAGATTTAAAACTCCCAAATCCTGGCTTCATGCACTAATCCTGAGCATGCTATCCAGTGTCTCAAAGTGGAAAATAAAATCACAGTCCCTTCTATCAAGGAGCTCATGGTATAGAGATGGAAACTGGTATAATTGCAACATAAAATTAGTACACATAAATGGACCCAAGAGCCGTGGTGATCTAGAGGAAGAAATAAATAAGCTGAGTTTTTGAGGAAGGTCAGAATTTAGCCAATTTGGGAGTAAGAAAGAGTATTTCATGCCAGAAGGTGAACAGAAAAGGGTGCCAGGAGGATAAACAGCCTGAAAAAATTGTGAAATTGTTCTCAAAGTAGATTGGAAAATATTTCCCATAAAAATGCTACAGTTCTTGGGCACTGTTTGAACCTTGAGAAAAGAAATATGGAACTTCCAGTTAAATGCCTTCAGAATTACGTAGCTCTGGGCTTTAAAAAATAATATGCCTTCAATCTATTGGTTACAAAATCTGGGGAATGGGACAATCTGGGGTGCACAGCAATGATGTATTTCCCAGTTCAAATCCCTTTGAATACACCTACCTTGTTCAAGGGATCAAAAGTAGTGATCAGTTGGCTTACTTCCTACCAGAGCATTTGTCTATGTCAAATCATTTGATCTTATTTTCATTTTCAATGCTGGAATGACCCTTCCCTTTTAGATTCATCACCTTTCAGACAATAGTTAGGGTGATCTTTCCAAAATTAATATATCAGCATGTCCATAATAATAATGGCTAGTGCTATAAACTGCTATATGCCAAGAGTTCTTCACATGTTAACTTAAACTTTACAATAACCCTCTGAAGCAGAGTTAGCATCCACACCCCCAGTTTCCAAAGGAGAAACTGAAGCTCAGAGAGGTTTCAATAGCTTGTACTGTTGTACTGGAAGCCTGGCACCAGAGTATTTTCTTATCCACTGTTACTGTGGTGGTTAAACCAGCTCCCGTTGCTCCCTCTACCACACAAAGAGAACCTGCCTTCGTTAGCATGCCCACCAGGCTTTCTAAGATCCAGGAAGTTCCTTGAGGTGTCCTTGTTGTGAGGTACAGATGTGAGACATCCTTATTGTTTAAAATACATATTAAAAATACATATTTATATATACATATAGATGTATACATATATATGGATTTCAGAGAGAGACACATCAATGGTGAGAGAGAATTATTGATTGGCTGCCTCCTGCACACCCCTACACTGAGGATTGAGCCCAAAACCTGGGCATATGACCTGACCGGGAATTGAACCACAACCTCCTGGTTCTTAGGTAGACACTCAACCACTACACCATACAGGCAGGGCCTGATCGTTACCTTTTGATACTGCAGGTCTGTGGAATGAACACTTTCAGCATTACTGGCTAGCTTTGGGGGAAGGTTTTAATCTGGCTCGGCATAACAGGTTTCAGCTTAACTTGCTAAAACTCAGTGCTTCAAAAAGGTATCCTTTAGCTCTGATATCCCATGTGGTCATGTATTTTCATTACACTTGAATTTACTCAATTTATTAGTGTTGGATAAGAAAGAGTATCTCAGTGTTTTTAGAGATTCTGTATTTTTTAATCCTCCCCCCCCCTCAAAATTCCATCTCATCCATAACCCCCATCATTTATGGAATATAATGAACAACATAAACTGATGAACAAAAACAGATCCAGAGACAGAAACATTTATCAGACCATCAAACCTCAGAGGGAAGGCAGAGGAGGGTGGGGGTACGGGGGAGAGATCAACCAAAGGATTTGTATGCATATACAGTAAACCTAACCAATGGACACAGACAACAGGGGGGTAAGGGCATGAGTGGAGGGGATTAGGGGGTAATGCGGGAATAAGGACACATATGTAACACCTTAATCAATCAATCAATCAATAAAAAGATGATGCTCTAACCAACTGAGCTACCCAGTCAGGGCTCCTGAGCATCTTTCAGTATTTGTTTTCACTGGGTTTTCTTCTTGGGTAAGTTGATTAAATCTTTTGCCCATTTTTCTACTGAGTAGTCATTTTCTAATTGATTTTCTTTTTAATCAATTAATCTTTTTAATACAAGTTCTGACGTTTATATTTTAGATAGGAGCTCTTCTCAGTTATAAGCATTGCAGATATCTTGACCTACTCTGTTGGTTGCCTTTACATTGGTTTATGGTGAGAAAATGGCTGAATGGTAGCAAACCTTGATATTATTTTGTCCTTTGCTTTAGAAATGATGTTCCATTCTTGAAGAAAATTAAGACACTAAAATTTACCCTTTTGATTTTTTTTCCAGCAATGTAAGACCAGCATTTTTGTCATTTCTCCAGCCACTCTTCTTTACAAATGGAATTTTCCCCATTTAAATGGTTATTTTCTTATTTATTTATTTATTTATTTGTTTATTTTGAGTTGCAGCATTAATGGCCTCCTGTACAATGTCTGCTGATCTCCAGGGAGAAGAACTTCACTGCGCTAGTATGCTGCTTGAGGCTGATTACAAATATTTCTTGTGTATAATTAACCTCTTTAATTTCACACCAGAACACAAGATAACTCATATATTATTTATTTTTTCTTTGGGATCTCATAGTGCTTCAAAGATTGAGGTTAGCTTTTCAAAATTCCTTTAATGGACATGCTGCTTCATAAGAGCACTCCGTCCAATCTGCGAAAGCCTTTTTACAGCCTGCAGTACATTTCCACCTACATTTTGCAACATTTTCCATTGATGAGGTGAGACTGAAAAGAATACACAATTTTCCCTCCAAAGTTTCCGAAATGTTACA